GGGCAGGTTGGTCAAGCAGGACCTGCCTCTCATGAACCCGTGTTGGCTGGGCCTGATCCCCTGGTTGTCCCACACATGCCTTGTGCGCGCCCTCAAGATGAACTGTTCCATAACCTTCCCCGGCACCGCGGTCAGGCTGACAGGCCTGTAGTTCCCCGGATCCTCCTTCCGGCCCTTCTTGTAGATGGGCGTCACATTGGCCAGCCTCCAGTCGTCCGGGACCTCCCCCGTTAACCAGGACTGCTGATAGATGATGGAGAGTGGCTTGGCGACCTCCTCCGCCAGCTCTCTCAGCACCCTTGGGTGGATCCCATCCGGCCCCATAGACTTGTGAGCATCCAGATGGCGTAGCAGGTCGTTGACCGCTTCCTCTTGGATTATGGGGGGTTCATCCTGCTCACCATCCCTGTCTTCCAGCTCAGGGGGCCGAGTACCCTGAGGATAACCAGTCTGCCTGCTAAAGACTGAGGCAAAGAAGGCATTAAGTACCTCAGCCTTTTCCTCATCCTCGGTGACAATGTTCCCCCCCGCATCCAATAAAGGATGGAGATTCTCCCTGGCTCTCTTCTTGTCATTAATATATTTGTAAAAACATTTTTTGTTGTCTTTAACGACAGCGGCCAGCTTGCGTTCCAGCTGGGCTTTTGCCTTTCTCATTTGTCATTCTCTAACATATTGTTATTGCAGGAGAAAGGTAGTTCCACTGACATCAGAAAAAGGAAAGATGGAAAGGTTATCAAGGTTAGGGAACAGTAATCACTGAATTTCTGCTTATGTCTGTGCCCTTCTAGAAAAATAATTTTACCTTGTGCTGACCAGTGTAAACACATAGGGGAAGGGATTGTACTACTGCAGACAGACCAAAAGCCCTCCTCCCCAAAGTGCCTCTTTGGAGATGAATTTAGACTAAATAATGGGAATATCTTGAAGACTAACAGAATTCAAAAGGAAAACAAGGTGTTCAAGACGACTCTCATTTCTGAACCTGATCTCTTGCTCCCAGTTAGGAATGCTCTAAAGGAAATACAGAGTCCTCCTGTGAAGCAAGAGACAGGTGCTGACTTAATTCACCCATACACACACTGGCTGCAGATCCCAGGTTTCTTCAGTAGGAGGATCCCAGGCATGCAGTGCTATCTTCCATAGCCTGATCTGCTGGTCCCAGGATCTACGGCTGTACTTCTTAAATTTGTTGGGAGTTCTAGGATGAACTCCTGGTATTCGCTGATTCCTGTAAATACACAGTAACATTTATATTTCAGGACATGATTCTCATTCTTAAAAAAAATCCTCAGTCGATCAGATCACACAACCATCAGTAGCCTAATAAATAAAATTTTCATATTTTTAAACACTTAACTGAAATGGGTATATTCTAAAACATTGTCAAAACCAGACCACACAAGCAACAACTAAAAATAACATGCTGAGCCAGACCAGAGGTTCATCTAGTCCAGCACTCTGACAGCTGCAAAAAGCAGATCCCTACTGCCCATGGACAAATATGAAACAGAAGAAGCATAACTCATACCCCTTCAATAATATTCTATCCTCCAGCTACTTCTATCTCAGTTTTCCTGAGTCAGGTGAAGTTTCTTTGTATTTAGTATTGTACTGAGTCTGGCTGGGATGGAGTTAACTTCCTTCATAGCAGTCCCCGTAGTGCTGTGTTTTGGATTTATGGCTAAAACAGTGCTGATAACACACTATTTTTTGGCTATTGCTGAACAGTGCTTACACAGCTTCAAGGCCTTCTCTTTTTCCCACTCTGCCCTGCCCCCTCCCGCAGCTACTAAGTTGAGGGGGAACAAGAAGTTGAAAGGGGAAACTGCTGGGACAGCTGACTCTACCCAAAGAGATATTCCACACCATATAATGTCATGCTCAGCAATAAAAACCCGGGCAGAGGAAGAGGGGGAGGTGTCTTCCAGAGACTGTCAGGCCACCACTCTGCTTGTGGGAGGCAGCAAGCGATTGCATTTGCATCATTTGCTTTTTCCCCTCGTTCTTTTCTTCACCTGTTAAACTGCCCTTATCTCAATCCATCAGTTTTCCCACCTTTGCTCTTCCTATTCTTTTCCCATCCCACTGGGGAGAGGGAAGGAGCAAGTAGCTGTGTGGATACTTGGCTGCTGGCAGGGGTCAACCCACAAGTATCTTCAGTTAACTTTTGTTCCACCACCGTCCATGCATTATTACAATGGCGACTGCTATAATTCTAAACAGCATTTGTCTTTTGGGAGTATAGAAAACAAAGTACCCACACTCTCTGGGTAAAATCTAAATGATACCTATGCCTATCCACTGAATCTACGCTGGGCAGACACTATAACAATGCTGTCTGGGATCACCCAGTGGCTGAAAGTGCTATTTCTCAGATAGTATCCCAAACCCAGATCCTGCCCACCACAGATTACTGGAGAGCTCACTCAAACCGTACATTCAGTACAAAATAATTCTGTTTATAGTCCTACCATAATGGAGTCAGCTGGAGAAAGCAAGAAATCCAGGTTTTGATTTGTTAGTTACTAATGAATCACTGAAGACTGGTCTCCCTTACCAATACTTAAATGCAAGGCTTTATTCAGTCCTCATTCAAAGCTGTCATTTCCTGCTATCGATTAACTTCACACTGGCCTAGCAACACAGTCACCAGAAGTATCACAGGGAGCTGATTAATACAGAATTTATTTCAAGCATGTTTGCTACTAGCAACAGCAATACACAAAGGGAACATTTAGCTTTAATTTTTCCCTAACTAAATTTGCTCATATGCAGGAAATACCTGGTTTCTCTTTAACAAAAATCAATTGATTCAAGTTTTTTTCACTTACTGTTCATATCATTTTAAGAGAACTAAAGCTGTGTGCTGATCTACACACACGTCAGGAACAAATAGGAGTTTATTTGGAAATGTGCAACATAGCGCAACTTACTTTGGAACTTCTTTAATGTATCTGTCATATGCAAGGGTATTCTTTCCAAAATTGATCTGTTTTTGTCTTCTCCTCAGAACCACTTCATCTGTTTCCCTTTCAGCTGGATTAGCAGAATCACTTGAAACAGAACTTAAAAATAAAAATTAGAATTAAGTTGAAAAGAACCTTAATAGCTTTACAAGTAAAAACATACTCTAGAACTGCATGTATTCTTACTCTGATAGACAGTAAGCACAACTCTTACTTCACCAGTTTACAGAAGTGAAAGTTGTGCTAATCAAATGAATCATTACAGCAAAAAGAGTAGGTTTTGCAAGTTCATGCAATTGCTCAGGTTTGTAACAAGTAAACATATACCTGAGGGTACTGGTGCTAGAGCTGCCTCACTAGAACTTTATTGCTAGTCCTACAACAAGGAAATCAAATTATACACGATTATTGCACATGTGTACCAACCTCCTAACGTAATTATGAAAAAGCTTAAACTCAATAAAACAAAAATGGATAATATAAAGGAGGCTAGTTTGAATGATCTAATAGTCATTTCTCTCTCCAAGCCTCGATGGTTGGTTTTCCTTTTTCCTTTCACTATTCCAGTATTTCCTCCTATGGAAAGCTGTAATGAATATGGAATTTAAGCTGAAAAAGGAAGAAAATTTGAAACGATATTACAAGTAGCTTTTGAGATAAGACTTCTCAGTGCTACTCTCTCCTTAAGGCTTCCTTCAGGCTTGATATGAAACAGCCTGGCTGTGTTTCAAATCTTCATTAATGTATATAAAGTAGTTGGAGAGCATCAGATGGCTATTGATAAAACCAACGCAACAATAGTTAATAATTATTCAATACCTACTTCGTCTTTTTTTTATTTGATGTCCTCATTGTTTTGCCTTCTTCAATTCTACCTTCCCAGTCAGGGCAACTAGAAAGAGGTCTTGAATCTTCTGGTGTTGAAGAGCTGGAAAATAATGAGAACTCAATATGAATGTTTGTTGCTCATAACGTATTTAACGACCAGAAACTTCAATAGTGGACAATAACAGCTCCACAACTGTAACACCATGGGTGTGCCCCTACTCCATTTCAGTTCAAAGTCAAACAAATTGAAACATTTCAGCTCAAGTCACCTTCAGCAGTGATGTAAGATTATCAGTTTTACTTTGCAGGGCAAGAAAATAGTCATGAAGTGAATTTCACGTCAGAACATAGACCTGACCACCTCTTAAAATACTCCCAGCTCAGCCAATCCAAATGCTTCCCTCTACTACTTCAGGACCTTCTCAATACTGCCATTCCATCAAAGAGCAAAATTCATGAAATTACTTGAGGTCAAAATCATCAGTCTAGTCACTGCTCTCTGTCGTCAGCTAAGGACTTTGTCAAGGACAGAGGAGATGCTTAAGAAACAGAAAAATGCCCGTCACATCAGCAGAACTAACATTTTGTCAGACATCATCATATCCCAACATATCATTTCAAGAATGTAAACTCTGCTGTGTAAAGCCAAAAAGGGAGTCAGGAAGCTCTTACTTAAATCATCAGTTGGATCACTGATGTTCTCTGAGTGAAGAAACACTTACCAGGTTTCTCATTAACTTAAAAAATATAATAAATGAAAACTGTATAATTCTATAATGTTCTGAAGCGCTGAAAACTTCTGCTTTCAGCCTGTCCGCTTCTTTCAATGTTAATGCCTCAACATTTAACGTAAGTAATATAAAAGTAGATTTAGCTTATAGTCTTACTTTCCCTGAACAGTTTCACATCGACAGATGAGATTACCATCCATGCTGCCCATGTCATTTTAACACGACATAAAGATTCCACACTAAGAACGAACATATCTGCTCAGCAAAAGAGAAACACAAAATGCTGCTAGCACATCCAGTTTGACTCACAATCATAACATAGTGTTAGTATTTTTTATGATAGCATCAAAGACATAGAAAACACTCCTGAATACAAGGTCTTTCCTAAGCTCTTGAAAAGATTCATTTATTAACTGAAGCAATATTAAATACGCCATCAGAAATGACAATCGCCTTCATATAATGTAATACTCAGAGATGTAGAAATTATATACAAAAAGTTTTCATGTGTCCTCAGTAAAATATTTCATCTCTTCTAACTTACGTTCTACTCAGTTTTCTGCACATATCCAAGTACTCGCCACTCTTCATACTTCCTGCCAGACATTAGGGTACCAATCTCAACCACTTCCTCCAGCGGAGGTCTTTAGTCTAGAATATCCAAAAGCAAAGCAAAATACTCCTAGAACTACCTACCTATAAAATTTGATCTCATCGCAAAATGCCCTCGGTACTGGACTACACACACACAAAAAAAAGTATTTACTAAAAACTGTAGTACAGCTGAATATACCGAGTGCACTGTCAAGTGAGGAGACAAGCATCATGGCTTGTCCACGCTTACACATAAAGATGTGTAAGCAAAGCATAAAAAGTAACAGCACATTGCTTCAATTGGAGTTTTATACCAATATTGAAGATCTCAGCAATAAAGGGCTTAAACTACTGCCTTGGTATATACCATTTCTGTCTTTCATATGCAATATTTGCTAATATTATGGCATGTATTTCAATTAGCCAAACCCTTGCATAATGCAGAGATCATTTGCTAACTCTGCACTACTGTATTATTAGAAAACATTTAACTTAATCACGTCCAAGGTTTTGCCGGATTCCTAAAGAAAAGACTGCAGCAAAGTGAAGATTTAAACAAACTTCACATTTATTCCTTACCTCTCCAGCCATTGGTCTAAATGTCTACATTGATATTCATCAAACACCGAAGAATCTGAATCATTCCAGCCTCTACATTCCTGTTCTTGATGCCAGCAGTGTGGTTGTTGCACAGAACTAGAAAATAAGAATTTTCATCAGAGATCAAGTCACTGGTAGTCACTGAACATTGCCTATACAAAACAAATATGGACAATCTGAATATCGTAATTTATAGTTACAAAACGCCGATTTGGCATAGATATGTGATTTGCGTCAACTTACTCATTCAGGCAACACTAACTTAACAAAGGTGTTAGACAATGCAGTTGCTGAGAAAAGGTCTTTGACTAATGCAATTAAGACATTAGAATTTTAAAATAAACTGTTAATATTTAGATAACCAAAAGTATACCCTTTCTCTATTTGCAAACAAAAAGGGGAAAAAAAACAACTGAAGACTGGCACCAGTGTTTATGGAACTGCTGACACGTGCCAACATTCATAGACTGTCCTCTGTCACCAATGCATTATTTGACATTCATATACCATTCTACACAGCAGTAAACTCGTGGAAGGGGCAAATACAGAAACATCACTTCAACACAGGAAAACAGCACGTCTAAGGAGAAGCAGGTCAAACATTTATGTGGAAACAATTTTACACAGGAAATTCTTTACCAGACACTGCTGCGGAGTTCTCACAAGTAAGCATGGGACAAGGAGCTAGAGTGGGGTGCTTGTAACGTGCTGGAAGGACAGCCAGAGATTGCTTAAGGATTAAGAGTTATCTACATTATCCTCCTCAGTTCTGGCAGCAGTGGTATCTTAAATGATAGGTTTCTAAACAAAACACTGTCACAGCATCTACTAACATCAGACCTGGCTTCTGGGCTAAGGACCACACCTGCAGATCAGCCACCACCTGCCTAAGAGAATGACCCTATACTGCAGACTCCACACAGTAAACATACTGCTGTTCTGTACGTGCAAGTAAGCATACTGTTCTGTACGTGCGAGGCCTCTGCACTTTTTAAGTCAACAAGTAAGAGGGAAGGAAGGTTTTTGTTATTTTAATCCTGGATTAACAACCTATGTTTTCTTCCCCTTCCTCCTCCACCCTGACTGGCTTTGGGAGTTTCCTGCTCCCAGAGGGCTCAAAGTTACTAACACACAGCACTAATAGCTTACTCCTGTCCATGGATCTAGGCAAAAGGACACTTTCAACACATTCGATTTTTGCAAAGGCAGTGAACAGATAAAACCTTTCTCTAACCACCTTCAACAACAATTACGCAATTTAAAAACTTGAAAGAAACAAAAAAAGAAAGGAAGAAAAAGCACGACACCTAGCATGCCTTAGGCAGAACACTATTTGAAAACCTAGGGAAAAACGCTAACAGAAAATCGTGCGTTTTAGAAATATTCCAGTATTTATCTAACTCCAGTGCTCTGCACTCCCCGCCCACTTCAGTGTCAGCCGTAAGGCAAGCCCCAGTGCCTCCCGGCCGGACTGACGGCATTTCACCCGAGCCCGCACGCCTCTGCCTGGGCCGGGACTGCGGCCCGTCTTTGGCTCCGAGCCCCACTGCCAGAGGAGACCAAAGCAACCCCGGCAAGGAGGCTCCCGCAGCGACGGCGCCAGCCCGCTGGAGGGGGAGACGCCTCCTGGTGTAGGGCGGCGAGCTGCCAGCAGCTGCCTCCCCCCGCGACCCCCTCGCGGGTTCCGAGGGGGACGAGGCCGAAGGCGGGGAAGGGCGGACGAAGCCCATCCTG